AAAAAAAAAAAAAAAAAAAACCCAACAACAACAAAAATGTTTTGAGAAAGGATTGGAAAATACATCATAGGAACCAAATAACTTAAACATCTGTTTGGCAAACGATCATGTTGCAGTTTTAGTAAATCTTACTATAATGCTATAGTAGCAATGCAGCATCTTTATAGTACATAATGATATATATAGGTACACATGCTCTAAACTCACATACACATATGAACTACATAGGATCCATACAGTTAAAATGGATTTTTTTCCCACTTTTCCCCTTCATAGTTCTGCCATTTGACCAGGTTTATCCAGCTCTAAACCCAGTGGTGCTGGGCCACAACCAGAGAGGTTCCAGGAACGTAGTTAGTCAGATGTCCTGCGGTGACTCAGGGTACAGCAGTTCTGAGCCAGCAGAGACGGCACCAGACCTGGAGGGAGCAGAGCATTGTCTCTGTACCTTCCACTCGTGTGACCTTGCAGGATTTCAGCCTTCTCATTCATAAAATGAGAATAATGCCAGGCGTGGTGCTGCATGCCTGTAATCTCGGCTCCCCAAGTGCCGAGGCAAGAGAATCATGAATTCCCGGCTAGCAACAAAGCAACAGCCTATTTCAAAAAATCGAAAACAAGAACAAAAAAACAACCCCTACCTCACGGAGTTGTTAAGAGGCTTGAAAACTAAAAGCATTCAGGAGTAGATGTCCAGTGTCGGTTGTGTTGGTTCTCCTCTCCTTCGCTAGGGGCAGTCGCCGCCCTGTCTTCTGCAGTCCTTCTACTGGGCGCAGTTAGGGTTGCTGGGTTTGTGTGGTCTCTCTGTAGACCAGGCTAGCCTCAAACTCAGAAATCCACCTACCTCTGCCTCCAGAGTGCTGGGGTTGAAGGGGTGGACCACCACTGCCTGGCTTACACACCTAAGGTTTTAAAAAGGAAGTTGCCGGGCCTGCTAATGACCACCACCTCCCCATCACCAGGATGTCACTCCGTTAGGTGACATCTACCTGGACATGGTAGTGTAACAGACATGGAGGGAAAGGGGAGGCAACTGGCAAAACAGAAGTCTTGTCCCCAGAAACTTTTTATTTCACCCTCCAGAGAAACCATGCCAATAAAAGGCCCAAATGCTGTTCATAAATGAGCTAAGGAAGGTGCATTATAAATAGATAGGCGAACAGGGAAAATGAATTTCATCTAGGAAAATATGAAATCAAGAAACAATTAGCGAGGGGCTAGAAACCTGCTGGGCAAAATCAGTTCTGAAGGAGGGAAACAGATGACCACAACGGCTGGGTGAAAACGGCTCAGAGGTGCGGGGCAAACAATGGCAGCCTAGCAATGACAAAGCGTCAAGTCAGTGACCTAGGCAAGGGGACCTGTACAAACGTCTT